CTTATTATTATTAATCTCAGCATTTTTGCAACACGGCCAAGAAGGAAGCATGACCGATTTTCCCACAAAACAAGGTGACAGCAATTTTTTAAATAAACTGCCAGAGAAATATAAAACCGCGTTCTCGGATATATGGGACTCAAGAGCTTTGAGTCACAACAATGCTATCTCAATCATGTCCAATCTCATTATATGCTTGTAAGCCAAATCAGGACTAAAAGCGTTTCTAAAAAGCAGAGACAACTTCCGTTAATTTTCGCACTTATTTACATCTGTTAATTTGTTAGAGAATAGTAATAGAGCGATGCAAATTTCTTTGCAAAGACTCATTATCTATTATATAAAAATAAGTCGGGTTTTCCTTCCTGACGATATAACTTCAGAACGCACGAACCGATTTCGACGATTTTGTATTCGTTGGAAAGGTCTCGGGCTCCGTGAGGTTTATAGCAAAGAAAATTGAAGAAAGATTTCAACAGAAAAGCGGAAAACACTTTTCTTTTTACACATACAGCGTCATCTCTGACACTTTGTACTGTGTTAAAATTTTCATTAAATCCAATGTTCCGAAACCAAAAATGTGTGATTTTTTTCTCGATTTGTATAAATGAGGCCTCGTTCCAGGATTAATACGAGCTCTATTAGTTTATGGCATTTCCGGCATAAAAACAGAAAAACGGACCCATCAGATGCCGTCCTTGAAAGATGATAAGGGTCTGCAGGCTGTAGTTTGTAAATGCTTGAAAAATCAATATAAATGTGAGTAAAATTTACATTGAACTAGTGGGGCGCATTGCATCGTGCCTTAAGGCAAATTGCTGGAACTTTCCGTACCAAAAAATTTTTTTTTAAAAGATTAACATTTAAAAAAAAATTACTCTGAAAAAATTAGATTTTTGAGAAACTATACATTTTTGACAAAAATTTACTTTTTTATTGAAAAAAAAAAAAGACTTTTTGAAGAAAAGTGTATTTTGAAATATTTTGAAAATTCTGAACTTTTTTTCAAAGCAATCGTATTGCTTTAACTGCATAGAGACAAAATATCGAAGCGCGTAAGCGCCGTGCCGCCGTCTAACGGATAAGTATTGGTACGGAACCCATAGGAATGTAAACAAAATTTATACTTATTGTTAAAATCTCTATAAAATATCTGATAATTTGATATGCATATGCCTAATGTTTATTTTTGAACGCCAAATGGCTCATTTTTTTATTTTTCCTCCATATCTCCGAAGTCGTTGCACCTGCCTTTCCAAAAATTTGAACAGTTCTTCACTCAGTTAGTACAAATAAAATGTTTTTGGAATTATTCAAATCGGACACTCCGTTCTCTTAAAAACTGAGTTACCGTTTTTGGCACTTTTTGCCCCATATATTTGGAACGGCTAGACCTGCCTTCTCCAACAACTAATCAGCACGTCTCCTCATCAGCACAAATCGAATGTTTTTTGTAATTATTCAAATCGCTTCATCCGTGTTCCCGAAAGACGTCGACGAAAATTTGTATCCGCACACACACACACGCACACACACACACATAAATCCATTTTTACTAAGGTATGCCAAAATATTCAGAAACCTCTAAAACGTAAAGATATATAAAAATTTTCATTTTCGATTTTTTTGCGATTACTATAACTTGCCCTACGGGAAGTTAATAAATTATGAACCAATTTTTTTAAATGAACTATAGTTTAACAGGAAATCAGAAGCAATATGGAGTTATAAACTTTAACCACTCAACAACTTCCAATAACCGTATAGCTTATTAATAAAAGTTCAAAATAAAAGATTTCTCTACCCAAAAATAGAATTTCTACGCGTAAAGTTTGCTCACAAAAAGGAGCTTGAGAATTTCTCCTGAAGAAAGAAATGACGAAGGTGAAAATTACCAGAAAATTTCGTGCACGTAGTAAATCATTGCACCAAATTGAGAAAAGTTGAAGAAAAATGCAATTATGTATTTTTTTTTTTTGAATTGACCCTTATTATTCAAATTCTGGCACAAAAAGTTAAGAATCTCAAGCTAATATAATTTACTATTACTATTAAGCAAAATGAAATAGATTTATCATTCTGCCCTTGTGTTGTTACAAATTCACATTGATGTCGGAACGAGCCAATTACCTTCCTCGTTATGAACGGATGTTGATGTAAAGGGGAGATGCAGACATTTATATAGTGGCTGCAATTTCCACAGTCACGAACTAAACTAAAACTTACTAAACAGAAATTTAAAATAAATATTTATATTCAGATGCACCAAGTACAAACGTATTTATTTAGTTTTCACGGAGGCGATCAAATCTAAACAATCTGAGAAAAAGAACATTTTTGTGTCATAGATAAATGACTCATGTATACTCATGTATATTCGCTACAGATTAATATGATTGTGTACTGCATTATCATATTCAGAGATAGAGAATGGATTGATACGGTTCTTGATTATGTCAAGTGCATTAAATAATCATTTGTATGACAAAGATGTTGAATAATAAAAATTAATATAAACATTACATGAATATAGACATAAACTAGTGGGGTGTATGGCATCGTGCCTTAAGGCAAATTGCTGGAACTTCCCGTACCGTAACAAAATGTTCGAGGAATACTGAATGTTTTCAAATAGATTATTATTAATATTGTAACATTGTCTAATATTTATAAGAATTATATAAACTGAATTGTAGAGTTGAAATTATTTGTTTAAAGTATATTAGAACTATAGTCAGAATTAAAAATAAAATCTGAATTATTTTCGATACACAAAAAAAATTTTTTTTGAGAAAAAAAAAAAGATGAAACCTAAATTTTTTTTCCAAAATCAATTATTTTGTTAAGACAAGCGGAAAGTTCTTTGAATCATTTAAATCGGACGCTTAGTTCTCTCTAAAACTGCCATTTATTGCACGTTTAGCTCCGTATCTTCGAAATGGCTGGGCCTGCCTTTGCCAAAAACTTTCTTCCAATCATTACTAATTGAATGTTTTTTAGATCAATCAAATCGGATGCTCCGTTCTCTCAAAAACTCGATTTCTATTTTATGCACTCTTTGCTCTTTATCTCCGTAACTGCTGGACCTGCCTTTGCCAAAAACTAATCAGCCCATCTCCCTATCAATAGGAATCGAATGCGTTTTGAACCATTCAAATCGGTTGATCCGTGCGCCCGAAAACGTGACTGGAAATTTGTATCCATACATACATACACACACACACACATCCATTTTTTCTGAAGTATGCCAAAATGTTCAGAAACCTTAATAACGTCGAGAAATGTAAAAATGTTCAATTTCGATTTTTGGCCCATTACAATAACTTACCCTACGGGAAGTTAAAAATTAATATAAACATTACATGAATATAGACATAAATATTATTAAAACCTTTGAAATTGAAAGTGTGTGTATAAGTACTTCTTTTAAACAGAAGTTATATTTGTAAAGACATTTCGAAGGGCTTTGTGCTTATCCCAAAATCTGTTATTACTATTATTTTGCTGTCTTTGAAGAAGTTTGAGCAACGCAGGTACCTCTGTAGGGTCATATTTCGATTTTCTGAGAAATGGATGACAATAGTATGCGCCTTTATAGTCAGCCCAAAACTCTTAAATGATTATTTACTTTGAAATTCGAGGACTCAATTTTTGAATACATAGTATGATAAAAATCTAGTTCTGGTATAAGAGTATTTTGTTAAATAAAAATTTTATTATGAAGATTATTGAAAGTATAATTCTACATATTACAGAAAAAAATGAGTACATATATGTACCATGAAGGTTGCTGAATTATTAGAAGGATAATAAGAATAACACAAAAAGTAAATGCTTTGAGAATTTTTTTTCAATAATCTAAATGCTGTTTGGACAAGGCAAAAAGTAAATGCTTTCAATGCAAATGTTGGAATTAATTTATATGCATCAAATTATGTTACACTTGTTGGTGTATATGACAAAACTGCTTTTTCTTAAAATAATCAAAATATATACAAACCCGAACAGGCAACTAGTAAAAGTGATCAAAATCTTCATAACCTTCAAACACAAATATTATGATCTTTCATAAAAAGCTTTACGAATCATACAAGAAATAAACATGACAGTACATTCAAAACGATGTAAAATGTTAATACGATATTATTAAAAACATTCTCTATTAAGGATAATAGTTTTGAAACATATTGCATATGTAGAAAACAAAATGATTTAGTCATAATGCTTCCAGTGAAAAACTATAAAATTTGCAGCAAATTACAATGCAAAATAATTTAAAATAAACATAAGATTACTTACATCTCATCCTTTAATGTTTCGTCTCCTTAATCACACATTAAACAAAGAATCACTCGCATTAACATTTATTTAATTTACTAATGTTATTACAAAATATATCACAAAAACGATAGTTCATATTTTTTCAAAATTAATTAATTTAAATCATTTTTATTAACAAATATTTAATAAACAAAACTGTTAAAAATCAACGTTAATACAAAATAAAGCGCTTGCGCACTTGACGTCAGACATGTTTAATAAATATTTGACTTTCTAGCGAGAACATCGAGCGTTTGCTCAACAGGTTTGCCAACAGTATTAGGTTTGCAGAAAATTAGGCCTATTTTTTAAATAGTTTTATTTTGCACATTAGTCTTAAATATTATATTAATGATAAAAGTGGCTTTAGATTCATATAAACAGATTTATTTATTTTTTGAATTAAGAGAACATTTCTTAAGAAGAAAAGATAAACGCCAAGTAGTTCTCAAATGTTTAGATTTTTTGTATAACCTGTGTTAAAAAATTTTTCACATGGTTGTACAATCGCCGTCAATCGTTGTCAATCGTTTATCTTCGCCATTATTTTTTTTGACAGTAGTCGTATTTTGACAAACGTTTTGTTTTGCTACATAGGTTATTTGTAATCAATTACTTGTTATTTATTTAATTATGACCTAACTGGGCCATGACATGCATTTACTCATTACGTTAATGAATCAACGCTAATAATAAGATATCGATTACAATCGATTACATATTTATTTTGCATTGTGCCACATCGGTGTTCATAGGCTTAAGATAAGATAATCTCTAAGATTTGATAACATTATAAATATTTTATGTGATATCGCAATTTCTTTATTCAATATATTATTTATTCTAAACAATGTGTGTGTGGTGATACTTAAATTATTTATTTAAAATGTCTATTATAAAACCGAGTTTAAACGAACTAAGAATTTTAATAAATGCAAGACTTGCCTCTAAAGAACCATGGCAAATTATAGCTATTACAGCCACATCTGTTATAAGCTTTTTATGGCTTCATGATCTATTAACAGCTGATGAAGGTATTTTATTACAAAATTATATATTACATATATAAGGTAGATCTAATATACTAAACGCCACAAATTATAAATGCTAATCAATAACTATATACATGCTATTTTGAGATTCATCAAACAAAATAAATCTGCTCAATAGCACTCATTACATCTTTGTGAATTATTCTAACTATATACGATAAATTATTTATATATGAAACATTTAAAACTGTATTACATGTTTTAAATTGAATTACTATTTATATTTATAGGCATTAAGACAAGATTACTGAAATCCCTGTTTAAATGGGCGAAGAAGATACCATATGTAAAAAAACGCATTGATGATGAACTTAATAAAATATCTGCACAATTCGATAAGGATATTCAAAAGAGGATGCAGGATGTGCCTTATATTACTACATTACCTGAACAAGGTTTGAGTGATGAAGAAATCGTAAAAATGGCCAAATCTTATTTGAATTTGGGTAAATATATATCATTACTTGAACTCGATATTGTTAAAAAACTTATTTTTAAATACCATTTTATTAGTATCATTAATTTTTCTTAAGGTACATACAAATGGAAAGAAGGAAGAGTATCAGGAGCTGTTTATTACTATGACCCAGAATTAATTGAGCTGAACACAAAAATTTATGGTATGACCTCTTACACAAATCCTCTTCATCCCGATGTTTTCCCTGGTGTTAGTAAAATGGAAGCAGAAGTTGTTAGGATTACGGCAAAACTCTTTCATGGTGGTCCAAATGCTTGTGGAACTGTAAGTGTAATGAAAATTTGGTTGCAATATGTATTAATGAATAATTATATCAAATTCATTAAATTATGTTCAAATTCAGATGACTACAGGTGGAACCGAGTCTATAATTATGGCTTGCAAAGCTTACAGAGACTATGCTAGAGAACGAGGCATTACAAAACCAAATATAGTAATGCCAGTTACTGCTCATTCCGGTTTTGATAAAGCCGCTCAATATCTTGGGTATATACTTTATTTGTTCACAGTAATATAATTGGTAAAAATTTAAGATTATCTATTATATTATTGTTTGTTATTTTAGATTAGGTGTAAGAACTGTAAGAGTTGATCCAGAAACAACACTTGTTGATCTAAAAGCTATGAAACGAGCAATTAATGGAAACACTTGTATGGTAATTGTTTTGTTAATTTGTATTTAATATACATATGCTATTTCAGTTTTGTCTCATTTTTTTGTGTTTGTAGCTGGTAGCATCAGCACCAAACTTTCCTTACGGAACTATGGATGATGTTCAAGGGGTTGCTGAGTTGGGCTTAAAATATAATATACCAGTTCATGTTGATGCTTGCTTAGGGGGCTTTGTTATAGCTTTTATGAGAAAGGCAGGCTTTGAATTACCTCCATTTGATTTTGAAGTTGAAGGTGTAACTAGTATCTCTGCTGATACTCATAAGGTAAATTCATTATAAAGATGAATTTCCATTGATTTTAGTTTAAGTTTATATTATCCATAATATATTATTTTTTATAGTATGGATTTGCACCAAAAGGTTCTTCAGTGATCTTATATTCAGATAAGAAATACCGTGATCACCAGTTTGTGGTTACAACTGATTGGCCTGGTGGTGTCTACGGTTCTCCCACTGTAAATGGTTCAAGAACTGGTGGAATAATAGCTGCATGTTGGTCTACTTTGTTAAGATTTGGTGAAACTGGATACATTGATGCAACAAAGAAAATTATAGACACAACTAAATATGTAGAGAAGGAGTTAGTAAATTTTTGAATTGCATATTTTCTACTATAACATTTAAAAACTAGGAATTAAAATTTAATTATTAAATGATGTCTTACAGGATTCGTAAGATTGATGAAGTATTCATTTTTGGAAAACCTGCGACAACTGTAGTAGCACTTGGTTCTAAAGTATTTGATATTTATCATTTAGCTGATAAACTTGGTGGTATGGGATGGAGTCTTAATGTCCTGCAATTTCCATCAGGGTAATATTATATTTATATTTTCATAGCACAACTTATATTATATAAATTTATATTTTCCAGGATACATATTTGTATAACTCATGTTCATACTCAAAATGGTGTAGCTGATCAATTTCTAGATGATATGAAATCTTGTATTGCAGAAATTATGAAAAATCCAAGTGCTCCTGTTGAGGGAAAGGTATTGCAATGATTATTTACATGCATTTATGCGTAATTTATTTTATAATGAATTTTTTTTTAGATGGCAATTTATGGAATGGCTCAAAGTGTGCCTGATCGGTCTACTGTAACTGCTTTCACTAAATGTTACATCAATTCAATGTACTACACTCCGGCAGATAAATAACAAATATTTGAAATATTTATATCAATAGTGTTATCAGATTTGTACAATTTTGAATATTTATATTAATGGTTAAGGTTTTTAAAGTTTACACTACCAATTTTATTCAATTTTATTTGGCAAATATTTTGTATTATTATATTTCCTTACAAGATCGAAGTATTGGATTAGAGTATTTTATAAAAATTTAGTGCATCATGTACAAAATGAGTGTCAGTATTCAAATTCATAATTTCGTAAAGATAAAAGTGCCAATTTCAGGAGATTACAAGTTAATTATATAATTTGTATATATCATTAATTTATTAAAATATTTTGAAAATTTGTATAAATTAATTCAATTGTAAGGGTTCTAGTCTTGTACATTTTCAAATATATATTACAAAGAAATATTTTACTCTTTAAAAATCCTATTTCAAATATTTTTTTATGGTTTGATCATTACTTTGAGCTTTAGAAGAAATATCTGTACAGAATATTTACTTTAGAAATTATTAAGCAAATATCGATATAATTTTTTGCTCAATTTCGAAAGAGAAGTTATTATTAAATGGCTGGAACGATTTCAAGAATATAGAAGGCATTCAATAAGAATTCGAGTTGATTAATTGCGATCGGTTTAGCCAATTTTTTGAATTAGAAGGAGTGAAAAAAATTTATACAACGGTTTCCTCTGAACCGATTTTGAAAACTTAAACAACATTCAAGAATATCAGAAGGGAATTGCTCTTTGTTGAAGATCGGCCGGGGCGCTTCTTTTTAATTGTTGTGTAAAAAAAAATTCCGACGATTTTGATGAAGCTTTTTATGTATTTAGATACATAGATCCAAGGATCATTATTTATACATTAAGATCTTATTTCCAACAAAATTTAATTACTTAATATTGTTTCCTAATTTTATTTATTTGTAAATAATGAAGACAAATTTAAAATCTTTACAGCGAAAAAAATCCTGTGTCATTGCGTCCGTTGTGTATTTAAAGTACAATAGAAAATTCCATAATCATATCGCACTTCAACCGTGGCGATAAATATCGAATAATTACTTTTAAACAATATAAAAAATAAAATAATATATTCATGTTTGCTTTGCAACCTTCACCCAGTAAATCAGCTTCGATTTAGAACTTAAATGTTGAAATAATAGTCTTGTATTCTAAAATTTGCGCAAAATGTTTAAAACTCGTCGTTGGTTTCGCGTATTTATTTTTTTATGTGTTTGGATTTTTTGTGCTTCTGAAAACAATAACGAGGTTAGTGAAAAAAATATAGATAAGAGGATTTTATATTTTATTTTATTACAATAAAAAAATTATCTTGGAAATGATGGATCTATGTATATTTTTCGTCACAATTAGTTAGAAAATATCACGATACTTTCTTTTCATAAAAATGTTGTCTTCACAATTTTAAAAGTTGCTAAAATGAAGACTTGAATGAATTGGGTCGATCATCTACACATATCGAAAAGTTCATGCAACTTGCTTTAAGTGCAAATTGCCACTAGCACCTAGTTGCTAACTTTGTCACCATTTTTTTTTTGAATGTTTTGAAAGCTTCCAGTTATATGGACTGAGTATGGACCAATTCGTGGAGAGATTTTAAGCTCCGGATTTTTTTCTAAATATTATAGCTTTAAAGGAATACCATATGCAAAACCGCCTATAGGAAATCTACGATTTATGGTAATTGTATGATACATAAATATTCTAAATACTTATATTTATATATGTATATATATTCATATTGTTATACATTATTGTATGTATATATCTTTGTTATTATTATGTTCAGCCGCCACGCGAACCTGATTCCTGGACCGAAGTGAGAGATGCACTTGCACACGGAAGTCATTGTCCAGGAAAAACTATAGTTTCCACTGGAATTAATGAAGATGAGGATTGTTTGTTCCTCAACGTCTACACGCCTTCTGTAAGAATTAATTTTACTTTGTATTTATAATATTATACAAAGATTATTTATTATAATTCTTATTTCAGCTTCCTGGAAATTCCAATTCCTTCAAGCCGGTGATGTTTTTCATTCATGGTGGTGCCTTTGTTGGAGGCTCTGGAGACTCATTCTATTATGGACCTGATTATTTTGTGAACGAAAATGTGGTTTTAGTTACTATTAATTATCGTTTAGGAGCTCTGGGTAAGTGGTAAAAGTAATCGTGTCAATTAAATATCAATTTTTGAATTAAATATTGAATTGATGGATATTATTATTTTTGAATTGAAGGGTTTTTAAGCACTGGCGATTCTGCTGCAGCAGGAAATGTTGGCTTGAAAGATCAAATTGCTGCACTAAAATGGGTGAAGGCAAATATAGCTAGGTTTGGAGGTGATCCAGACAATGTGACAATCTTCGGAGAAAGTGCAGGCGCTGTATCAGTTCATTATTTAATACTATCTCCTCTGGCTAAAGGTTAAAGATCAATATGATGCAATATATAACTGAAAGATTATTTTTACCAAACCTCCTTTATAATAAACTAGATCCATGAATAGAGGCAGGCAACATGATGCTAATTTCAAATTATAACATTTCTTTTGATAGGATATTTTCACAAAGCAATATCTCAAAGTGGATCCTCATTAAATCCTTGGGCTTTTCAGCCAGATCCTCGCAAATCAGCTTTTGAACTTGGCAGAAAGTTAGGCATTACAACAACAAATTCGAAAGAACTAGTTCTGGCGCTGCAGAATATTCCAGTTTTTGATATTATGAGAGTTCAACCTGGAACTTTATCCACCGTCTGTATTAAATCATTTTATATAAAAATCAATTTCATATATTAAAATATATTTGCATTCCAGAGCATCCCAAGAGGGCTTGTTCCACAGCCATTTGTACCTTCAGTTGACGCGTTTGCGAATAATTCTGAAATAGTGCTTCCAAAAACGCCTATAGAAATTATAAAAAGTGGTGTGTACAACAAGGTGCCTTATATTTGCGGTTTTAACAGTCATGAGGCTTTTATAATGCTTCCAGGTAAACTATTTATAAAATAATGTTATATCTCTCTAACACATAGGTTCCCAAATTTGTTTGTGCTGTGGACCCTTGCAATGTTTTTTGTTTTGTTATGGACCCCCTATATTAAAGTGACCTCACCTACCAGTTTCGCCGGAACACTCACGGATTTCCATCTGGTGATCCGGGTTTTTATAAAATCAATTTTCGGCCCGGATTGTGCCGCGTTCTCAAAAAGTATAGGTTTAAATCGAATCTTCGCAATGCTTGATACTAAAATTACAACTACCCGTCAAATATCTGGAAACGAAATATTTCACATCACTCAATAAACATGTAGGATAACTAAGAAAAACCAATTTTTTGCCAAATTTCTTTTTGTTTTATGCAATATAGTTTCTTCGAAGACGATATAAAAATTATAGCGAACTTTAAACTTTTCGAAACCATTTTTTAGTACGATTTGTACTTTGCCACAAAATTCAGCTATCATCTCATCATTTGGTAAAAGTTTCTTCACAGCAAGCATCCTTTTGAGATCTGAAATCGATATATGGTCGCTGGAAACAGATCTAGAGAATATGGTAAAAGGGAAAGCAATTTGGAGGCCAACTCATATTTTTCTTCTTTTTAATTTACGTGACCAAAATTTCAAGTTGGATTATTCAATAGTTACTGAGATATGGGATGTTGATGGGTGGCTCGCTCCGCTCTCAATACTAGTATTGAAACAGATTGTACGTTTTCAAAAACACATACTTTACTAAGATTGTGACCAAAATTTCAAGTTCGATCATTCAATAGTTCCTCAGATATGCGTGGTTGATAGGTGGCTGGCTCCGAGCTCAATACTAACATTTGAAGTTTAAATCATTTCTAAATATGCCGTGGACCACCATTTTTATTTCGTGGACCCCCAAATTTTGTTTTACCTGCCGTGGACCCCTGGGGGTCCATGTGGACCACTTTGGGAATCACTGCTCTAACAGAACAGATTGTAGCGAGAAGTAAGAAAATTTTGAATGCATTTGGATTGAAATTTTATTAAGTCTAAATTATTAGAGCATATCTTATAAGTAAAATCTATCATAGACAGTTGAAAAAATAAACATTTATAAGTATTTAAACTTTTTATTTACAATTTAGAACTCCAATTGGATTCTTTGGTGTTTCCTACTCTCAACCAAAATAGAGAGTTGCTCATTCCATTCTCTTGGAACTTACCAAAAGAAAGCAAAGTTTCTAAGTTGATTGCAAAAGAAATTTGGAATTTTTATTTTCAAGGAAAATCTTTATCCAAATCAAAAGACATGAGCCTCCGATGGGTAGATGTGAGTTATAAAATGATAAAAAGATACAAAATATTACACATTTTGATTTGTAGCACTGTTGAAGATTTAGAATATTATGATAATTTTAATAAATCACTAACAATTTCTACAGTTACTTTTATATTTAGTTTATGACTGACCAAATGTTTGTTGTTGGCATTGATAATACAGTAAAGTTGCAATCTGAAACATCATCAACACCGATATATTATTATAAATTCAGTTTTGATGGTGATCTTAATCTTGCAAAAGCGTTGCTTTTTATAAAGTATAAAGGTATAGTGATTTATTTAGCTCTACTTAATACAATTGTATTTTAACATTTGCATTTATTTTAGTGTATTTTTTTCTCAGGTGCATGTCATACAGATGAATTATTCTATTTATTTAAAGTCGCCGGTTTGCCATTGCCTTTGTTACCAATTAACCCTGCTGCAATAACTTTACGAAGAATGGTTCGAATGTGGACTAATTTTAGCAAATCTGGGTATGTATAAATTAAATTATATTAGATCATAGTCTTATGAAAATAATCAAAAAGATTTTTATATATAAACAATTTAATTTTCAGCAAACCTACCCCTTATCGAGAAACACTTTTAAACAATGTTATTTGGCCTAGAATAACAAAGACAATAAACTATCTTGATATTGATGAAAATTTTGTACTTGGTGTAAATCCTTATAGTGATCGTATGACATTTTGGAATAATTTAAAGAAATTATATAACTCATGATATGTAAATTAAACAAATTATAATTAACT